ACCTCTACAACATGCAACAAATCATTTCCGAAAAGCGCGCCACGACCTGAAAGACCTCCCTTGTCAGTGTGGTCTAGTTCTCAACTGCCCATTGTAAGGGTGTGTCCGATTTGATTTGAAAAGTGTCCGATTTGATTTGAAAAGTGTCCGATTTGGTTTGAAAAGTGTCCGATTTGGTTTGAAAAGTGTCCGATTTAAAGTGAAAATGGTATATATCAATCGTATTGCATTTCGAATAGTATCATTTAGAGAGAAGACTTGGCTACATGGATGCGCGAATCGCTTGGAGGGGTGGGTGGTGAGCTGGATGAAGAGTGGGCACCTCCCACAGCAGAGCCACCAATTTGTAGCCGATCACCACGAACCGAAGGTGACACAACCGTGATGCAGAGAGCCATGTGTCCATGGGAATCGAGGTCTGTCATTTGAACCTTTTTCCAATGATCCCTATCCCATTTTGGACGTTCAGAGTTGACTTTGATGAGACGCGGGAGCCAAAGATTGTCTCCGAAGCGGTTTGTTTGTGTCGTCGAAGTCGTGGAGCCACTGGGGCCTTCTGTATGCCGATAAGAAGAGAAGTAAGAGCTAAACTCTTTCTAAAAATCCAAAATTAGACTGTGAAAATAGCTCTTTTGCACGAGGCTAGCAGTCTTTCATCTCCGTGTTTTCCTTTTTTTTCTTCATCCTGATAAGAATAATGCTCAAGTGATACCACTTGCAACCATTCTTTCAACACCTTCTCCCAAAACTGAGGTCTCACAACCGCTTGAGGCGAAGTGTACTGAGTGTACTGAAGTAGGCTGTGCTGTGGCCGAAAATTATTCCATTTTGTATTTTTTTAATATATTTCGTCTTATTTTAGTTCCAGTGGACATGAGATCGGAAATTTCGGGTGGCGCATAAAAAAAATCGTAGACCGTGAATTGGCAGATGCAATGATTCATCAGCAAACCGTACTTTAATTGGAGGGTTCTATGTAGCTATAAAATTCAGGAAATCGATACTAAGACGGCGCATAAGATCCGAGAGTGTCGATAATGAATGCGGCCCACCTGAAACGGATGGAGCGATTCCCCGGAAGAAGGATACTGCTTCTTAGAAATAATATTTAGATTATAGGCAATTCTACGAGAACCGGAAAGATTTAGGTGGATTCGGCGTATACGATATGGTATAACTTACAGTCCTCATCATTGCGGACTGTCGGAGGGCGGTCCAAATGGGCGTTCGGCCTCGTTGCTCTACCAATGGCGATCGGGTAAAGATCGATTTAGGGAGGGAGCAACCAATGATGGAAACGCCGCAGAGCCGCTGATTGCGACCCGACAATTGCGGTGATGTAAAGCGTACATCTTTGCGAATACGGTGTAGAACGATATGGCAAAGATGAAGGAACGACAAAGAGGAACAGGGCA